AAGCTTTACTGAGACAATCATCCATTTCCCTCAGAGTGATGCACACATCCCTGTGCAGCATTTGTATCTTACCTGCAGGGCTCCAAAAAGCATCATCTCCTCCTCGGTGCAGTCGATATCTTCCAGCAGAATGGCCCAGCGGGCCTGCTCATACAGCTGGGCGAGACGCACAACATCGTACTGCCAGATAGAGATGATGGATGACTTAAAAATGATTTGACACATTACAAATTTTAAAGAGGATTATTATATAAAACGCCACACACACCTTGGGGTCTATATCGTAGAAGGAGTAAAACTTGAAGCGAAGCCACAGTCGGTCATTTTCTTGGATGCCTTGCTGCTTAAGACAACGAGATGAATCCAACCACCTGAGGGGGGGCACAGAGCGTTTTTTTGTTTCTAAAGACTTTATGAGGTTTGTGTTCCTATGAACATACAGCATGTAGTACACTGCAAAAAATGATCTCAAAATGAGTAAAAATGTCTTAAATTAAGGGTAATTAAGATGATTTGCCAATGGAACGAGTATTTTTACTCTTAAAATAAGGTATCTAGATATTATGCACTTGAAATAAGACAATGCAATTGTTTTTCTTATTTTAAGTGTAAATTGTCTTGTTCCATTGGCAAAGTGTTTCACTTAAATCCTTAATTCAAGAAAAAATGCACTTATTTTAAGAAAAAAATACTTTTTTTTTTGCAGTGTATGTGTTGGTATGCAATATTCAAAAATAGTTTAAAAGTGAGCTACATCATTGTCATTTTTGCTAGTTTTTCCATTCATCCTTTTAAATTAGTTCCTCTATATATAAAACTACAGTAAAGAAAGGGGACAAAAAACAACTATTTTTTTAATTTCTTTCTTAAAATGGCAGCACCGAGTGCAAGCAACCCAAAAAGCTCTTAGTATACAGGAGTGTCTCAGTAAGTTAGAGAGCCTTATTTCTTCCAACTACGTCGTTCAAAAGTGGCCTTGAAGTAATTAGTGTATTTGTTACATAGTCTATGTGCAATTTCTGATTTAAAAATGAGGATGGTAATTCAGAAGCTGATACTTATCTTTCTGACAGCTCTTTCTGTCTCATCTTTGTGTTCATTCTCACTTGAAGGATCAGGATCAAACCAGATATATATCAGAGGTTTTGAGGTTTTAAAATCATCCCTCAGAATAATGAGCTATATAGCATGAATCATGCACTGCTGATATGGTACACCACCTTGCAATTGTAGCCATTTTAAGTAAGGAATAAATTTCGAAATTTTTCTCTGCGTTAGATTGCATTTTTTTTTATTTGGGAAGTTATTGTCTTCATCTTTTATTGTTGCCCTAAATGTCTTGAAATATGCAAATATGAATGAGTATGTATGTTGTGTGTAGAAATTATTTCAAATGGCTGTAAAACATAAGGAGCAAACCAGGTTTCTTGGAAGATTTGGATCTACCTGCCGTTGATGTGAGCTTTGTCCACCACACTGGCAGGGCGGTACTGCTTAGTGATGACCTCGGGAGCAGGAGGAGGCTGAGTGATGGACAGCATCTTGTAGACGGCCTCCATCTGCTCTGAGTCAGCAAAATGAGCCGGCATGCCGTTGTACAGACAGGGCCGGGAAACTGAACAGGAAGTGGGAACGCAAAGAATGATGTGAGATATTCAGGAGAAAAACAGGAAGCAGACTGGCTGAAATGTTTTAGACATTGTGAAAAGTGTTTTAAAAAAAGATGTGATGGGTGTACCCATGGAAAGGGGCACCTCGGTCAGGTCGTAGATCTCCTCCGCCATGTCTTTGTCTTTCTTCTTCTTCTTCTCCTCCACAGGACGGAGGAGGGAGAGCTCCTCAGGGTGACGGATATCTGTTGGGAAATCATGTCAGAGTTGGTATTAACCAGACCCCGTATTGAGTTATTTGAACTGATGCTTGATTGATGTTGAAAATATCTAAAGTGGGCATATTTCTCTGTACAAACAGATAATTGTGCTTAAAGCAGAGACATAATAGAAAATGAATTTTCTTATTGAATTTAATAAATGTATGTATAAACATGGTTTGGCTTCTGAAAAATGTAAAATGTGGGACTCAGTTTCAGGAGAAAAAGATGTTAAAGCTGGCAAGAGCAATAGGAAACATCCTCTTTTTATTATGGGCTGAGATGTTGGAGTAAGAAGTCCTTAAAATAACATCAGCATAAAGGCCAGATAACAGCGAATGGATTCAAGGACCTTAACTCCTGTAGACGTGTCCTATAGTTGGATGAATCTATTGAATCATGCAAACGTGTTTTGACCATCAAGAACATCAATAAATGTGCAATAAAAAAGCTAAAAAATAAAATTAAAAACAAAAAAGGCTGTGTAATGTTCTATTTATTTGTTTAAATTAATATTTTTCCTGTCAGTATAATTGCAACACTCCAACAGTGACTGCAAGTCAGAAAGTTGTGTTAATGGAGGTTTTTAGCACACAGTGGTGCGAGGGACATGTCATTTTCTGTGTTAAAGGTCAAGTTCTAGGTGACGTGTTGAATCTGCAATGACTGAGTCTGTACTGTCCAATGATTGATAAGAGGAAAATGACAGAAAAAACTTTGTGCATGCTCTTTGGAACCGTTTTGATTTTAAAATAAATATCACTATTTATTTAAATCCAGTAAGGGATTTTGCATTGACATAAAAAAAAGAAAACTGCTCATTGAAAAACAATAAAGAAACCAGATTAAACGAGTAAGGAAAGAATGGCAACACTAATTTGCCTGGCAGGCTCACGTGGAAACATGGGTTTTACAGAAGTTTTAAGGTCAGACAAAGGTTAACCTGCTGGGACTACGATGACAAGTTCAATGCAAAGATGAGTCAGTGAACAAGGCTTTCAAATCCTTCAAACACCATGCTAGCTGTGAGCTATCGTACAAAGGGTTTTTTTTGTTTGCTTTTGGGGCTACCATTGCATTGCACAAAGCTGATGGGTTATTTAAGAGAGAAGGCCGACTGAATTCTGCATTTTACGTGTTTTCTCTCTGCATGCATATTTCCTCTCATTGAATATTAATGTTAGATGAAACATGTGGCTGCATGGTTGTTTGTCTTCTGTGTTACTTTGTTTTTCTGCGATGCACTGGTGACCTTTCCAGCCTGTACCCTGCCTGCAGAAAAATTATCCAAAATAAAAATAAAAGCTTCTGTTGTAAATGTTTGGACTATGATGATAATCCAGCATGTTGACAGAATACTAACCAGCATAATGTAACCTTGCAATTAACATCCCAAGTAGAAGCAGCTTAGGTAGATTAAACCAAAAATACTTTTTTATTTGAGCCTGTATGTAACATTCAGAGCTTATTTTCAAAAAATTGAAATGTTGAATAATTCTATAGGGATCTTATGATCAATAACACTATTTATTTTACACCTATCCCTCAAAGAGCCTTTCAACTAGAACCACAAAATGTCCATGCATTTATACACAGATCAGAAGCAAACCTCCAGAAAACAGCTCTTCCCCATTATACATTACTAAAAAAAGTTTACCTTAAATACAGATGAACTAATGATGTTGGTGTCCAGTCATCCAAAGCCTGACAGTTCTTGTTTTGTTTTTATTTTACTTTACTTTGTTTTTGACAGTCAGATTGTTGCCCTTTAGTCTCTGGCTTTTCAAATAGTTTTTAATCCACTAACCTTTTCTTGAGGTTTCTGGTGGGGAAATGAGACTAAGCTATGCTTAGATTAGAATAAATGAAAGTATGCAGAAGATTAAGAAACACTTTCTTTCTGGTAATGACCAAAGCGAACTGTTCCAGACAAAAAAAGAGCTGGTTAGGTTGATGTGATGGAGGGAAAACACAGAGTGATATAAATATCAACACCCGGAGATAAAAATACCTAAATAAAAAAAGATCAAAGAGGAAGTAATAAAGAAAAACCCACTGAGCATCCTGCAGATCCCCATCACTGTCTGGAAGACAGGGTTAGAGAAGCAGGCCTTCAGCATCAGGGTTTTCCCATTGGGCAGACCCAGTTTAAGCGGCTTGTGTTGAGGTATGAACAGCAGCCGGGCGTCAGCGTGAATCCCATATTTTTCCAGAGTCCAGGCAGTTCGTAGGAGCCAGTGCTGCTTCTGCTCCCACCACAGCGCGTGGTCTGACCAGTCACGTTTGATTTCTGAAAAAGACAAACACAGAAGGAAATACTTACATTACAGATCATTGGTTACTGTATCCGAAAACAAGCTGGAACTGGATCCCTGAGGTGTTGGATCAAGCAATGTACTTGTTAAACAACATGACAAGCAGTTATAACAGGGTAGGTAGTACTTCAGTCTCATCAAAGGGTTCAGCACCCCACCAGGTATGCTTCCTAAACTTAAAATCAGCCTCTGCTCACATTGCAGTATCAGCATTCAATAAAGGTATTTTTGAGGATTCATATTCAGACAGGAGAAGCTACTGCAGCTGTTTCTCTACCAGAGGAATTCCTGGATGAGTGTTTTATTTTCATCATCTGTCTCTTTCCTTTCTATCAACTGTTGGCAGATGGGAAGCTCTTCCTCCTGCTTAATTTCCCTCATGTTAAAGAGTTGGTGGTTCCTTTTCACTGTGACGACACTCGCTTGCATAGGAGGAGGGATTGCTGCAGAAGTCAATTACTGTATGCAATCAGCCAGGGTTCCTTCAGGAAATAACTGCTCATTACCTGGCCACATATCAGCTGGAATTATCTTTATAGTAAAACAAACTGTGTGTTATTCTATTGTATCCAACTGAATTTCAAACTGAGTAAATTATTTTACTGGAATCAGATGAATGGGATAAGAAAAAAAATAAGTTTGGGCTGAATTTAAGTCAAAAACGCTGAATATAAGGTTGGTTGTCTTGTAAAATGACTTTAACTGAATTAAGATTCAGCTGTTAATTCAGTTATTGGGATTTGGTTTATTCGTTCACTTTGGGAAAATATTGTCTAAATCCTGCAGGATATGAGAGTTTACTGATTATTTGACATCTGAACAAACAACCCTAGTTTTTAGCATTACATGTGTAGGTAGCCTAAGTATTGAAAACATTCAACAATTTGGCAGCTGATCAGTTGTTCTGCAGTATAATACTGCAACTTATTTAGATCTGTTTAGCTGTGCATGATAATACATGTTCAGAGTCCTTCAGACAAACACACTGTCTGTTAGCTTAGCAAATGGATTTAATGGAAACAATTCACTCTGACATTTATGTGAATCATCACCAAGAAAAGGGTGTTTCCATGCTTCAGGAATTAAAGTCCAATTTTCCATTCTCTTATATTAGCAACATTTCAGTGAGTTATTCTAAAGAATTACTGCCAAAGAAAGACTTTCTGGATCAATGATGTTGTAGCAGGGAGGTTAAAGGGTTACATCCTAATGTGGCATCTTTGATAAAGACAAACATACTGAAAAAATACTATCTATAGTCCATGAGTTATTAGGGGTGCTCTACCTTTCAAGTCACATTAAGAGTTGTCTTCTCAATCATTAAAAATCAATACTTGGTGCTTGATATATCGGTCTGCTTCACACATGTTTTGGAAGAATATATGTAAATCCATGCAATTGTATGTCTATGCATTCTTGCTTAAAAGCGTGCAAAGGTCCCCTCAGCCCATTAAGGTTTCCACTGGGAATGTATTTGATAGGTACAAAGAAAAAAATAGAACATGGAGTAAAAGAATTACATAAAAAAATATTTTTCTATGTATTTTTTTATTAACCTGGAAGATGGCCTATTTGAAACTTGTTAATGTGGTATGAATCTTATTTCTTCAGCTGAGACAATAAAGCTGTTCAAATGTGATGAGAAGATGGATGGAGCTAAATACAAGACAAACCACAAAGAATTGTTGGCCTTCCAACTGGATATCCCCTTAGCATGATGAAGTCACCACCGTGTTTCACCCTATGAATGGTGCATTACATTAATGTGTTGTATTTTGATTTAGACACATCTGAAGACACCTTTCTTTAAGAGTGATATTTGTTACTGCACAATGAGGCTATGGGCTGTTTTATAAAACACTGACAACATTTGTGGTAAAAGGTTAAATATTTAAGATTTAAGAACAAGTTTGTCATTGACTGCATGTTTTTATACTGCCAGCCCCTGTGACTGAGAGAGACAGCTAAAGAAGGATAGATTGACTCACGTGTCTTCTCCACCAGCTTGACGATAACCCCTCCGATGTGGAGGTCAGATGCAACGCTGATGGTGACAGGAGGGGCATCAGGGCCCAGGTCCTCCACAGTGACTGACAGGTCCCACGCCGCCATACTCTGAGAGCGATAGGAGTAGACTGCATGACTGAAAGCAGGACTCTTCTCAGCAGCAAGATAATCAAAGAAAGAGACACACTCCAATAGGATGGAAACACCTTGGACAGCATTATAACCAAAATATAAACACAAATGATCAATTCTCTTTGATTTCATCAGTATGATTTTAAATATTAGTGCAATAAAGAGAAACAATCTGACTTTTGATTAATCATATCTCTTTACAGGTGCTGCTCAGTTAAGACCTTATCCGTGGTAGACACAAACACACTGAGTGACAGGCTTGATAAATGTTTCCTGTTTCTGTCTCAAACTATCACCATGGATGCACACTTCCGCTTTTTAAATGCATGCAGCAGGGGAATGAACAACGCGCCATGGGCTGGGCCGTTCATTCGGTGTTGATACTGTCCCCTCCTGCATGTAAATAAAAACGCATTTAAGAAAACAAAAAAGCAATTTACTTCTTGGATAAAAATGTGTTATTTTTAAAACCATATTTCCGTTCAAAAAGACAAATACAGGTTAAACTGCGTAAGCAGGACATGATTAAATCTAGCCCCACGTTTACTTGAAGGCCCAGACTTTCATAATATTTTTATAAATTCAGACCTATGCGTTATTAAACACATTTATTAACTTATAAATTACACTTTACATCTCTATATTTTAAATATAAACATCCACTGCCATTTTGTCTGTTCTCCTGCTTCTATTTCCACACACACACATACACCCTGTAAAAGACAGTACCCTGAGCTTTCTCCGTCCACAATTTGAAGAATTTGACCCTTGTGTCTTTACCAAAACTCTGAAGAAGTTTCCCTGGTCTACTGTGAGAATTTGCAGCCGTCTTACCTCTCTCGAATAGGACAAGTTGTGGTGTGTGGTCTTGCCTTTGCTGCTTGTGTCACCCCTTTTAAAAAAAAAAAAGCTTGTTCCTTTTTTCTCTGTCAGTTTCCGCCAGGCGGAAATGTGAACACAGCTCAACTTCTGACTGACAGCTTGTGTTGAGTGATACATATTAGGCAACATCTGTGCTTCGGTTCACAATTAAAAGGCCACATGAGGGTTGCCAGATCAGCAGTTAGAAATGAAAGGGTGTGGGATATTATTCCTTAATTTCACAAGTCAGGTTCGTTTGGTTAAAATGCAAAGTAAGGTTAGGTTTTATGCTAAAGTGTTTCCTTTTAAACCTAACAGTCCCATATGAACAATGCAAATAATTTATTTTTTATGTATAAATTTAAAAATTATTGATTAATTATATATAAGTTAGAGAAAAGTCTTAACTTGTCTAACCTCCTAATATTTAGGGTCATAATTCAGTTTTCAGTTATTCAATAATAAGTTACAATTATTTGTTAAATTCTTCAACAATTTTTATTTATTTTTTTTGTAATACGGCCTTGAGTGCTATGACAAGTGCTTTCAAACATAATGCATTATCAATATAACTAGTACGGTAATAAAAAAGTTAGTATTGTATTGATTTTATTTGATTTTATGACAAAAGGATAAATATTTATTTTTTGTAAAATTTCATTAATTGAAAGCTTTGTGATGCAAACTGCATTGTATTTATTTTACACATCAAAACCTGTCTGCAGGGTTACATTACAGGCAACCAAGTGATGACAGTTTACATTAATTCATGATAGAACAGGAAATGTGACATAACTAAATAAACCCTAAATAACTGCATGTTCTTATAAGTAACACATGTCACCATCTGGTAATTAATTTTATTAGTAATTACCTGTTTAGACAACAACTCTTTTTTTCTGCTAATTGATTTGTATTTTTTAATAATTTATATAATGGAATTTATAGTTGCATATTGAATAGATGTCCTATATTTTTTAAATGGAACCTTTTTTAACCCTTTATATATAAATAAATACAATTGAATTTAAAATACAGTTTGCTGAACACTGCAAAGTATTTTTTACTAACACTATCTCACTTGGATAGCGTCCACTTATATTTTGGCTGCTTTTTGAAAATTTAACCACATCATACAGTTTTTTATTCCGAATATATAGTTTAAACAGACATTGTCACTTAAAACTGAAATATCCGATAATCATGAAGCTCACACTGGATTTTGACCGTTATCTTTGACTCTTCCATTTTTACTCATTTACGGGGTATAACCTACTGTGAAAGGCTTTACATTTTAGATTTATTTTGAATTAGGTGTATGCTGCGAGTATCTTAATCGGAATATTACAATATTTACTGATATCAATTAGTGGTTTCAAAGATGGACCCCCCTATATCCTCACAAATGGTATATTCCACACCTTAACTTCCTAAACAAAGGTAGCACATGAGACTTTACACTGAGAGCTGTGTATGTATCGAAAGTGAAAGCCGACCACAGTCTGTGGCCGACATTTGAACTTTTAAACACAGTTCTTTACAGCCTGCTCGGTAAAACTCAAACATGGCGCTGCTAATATCAGCTCGGGTTTCAAACGTGAGAGCCCTGCCATGCAGTGCTCTGTCCCGTGTCCGGGCTGACTTCCAGAGAGCAGGTGTCAAGTTCAGGCACTTGTTCACCCCGGGTAGCCCCCAGCTCACCGGGACACATGTAACCAGTCCCATACGAAGTGCTGTTAACGCCGCAGGCCGAGGGGCCAAGTTCTCCACCACAGCAGCGGCGCTTCACAAATCCACCCGGGCTAACGGTTCCTGTCCACCTGGGGGGAGGAGAGGCTGGCTGGGAAAGTTTGCCTTCGGTGCCGCCCTCGGAGTGGGGACAGCCGCTGTGGTGCAGGCCCTTCACACTGGACTCATTACCGCCATGGCTCTAAAAATGAACCTGGACTCTGCTGAGGGGGACTGGAAGGAAACCAAGGGTGAGAAAGAGAAAATCACGACCTTTCAAATGAACCTGGCCAAACTGTCAGCTGCCTGGATTGATCACAAGCTGTAAAAAAGCTGAATGAATAAGTATGAAACCCAATGAAACAACTTTCACAGTAGTGTTAATATATTAGTTTCCTATTGGTAAGGGGACCCTATTTTAAGATTTTAATATCTGTAAGGTTTGCTGCTTATGATGCTTTTATTGCCTTTTGCTTGAGGCTTCCTTCCAGTTCCACATTGATTCAACAAAACATGTTATAGTGTAAATATTTACTACTCTGTACAAAAACCAGCAAATGTTTTTTTATTGGGACTTCATACACGTGTAGGATACATTTCTGTCTCCCTTAAAGTCATTACCCCCTAATTATGATAAATGTAACTTTATTTAGTTTATCTATTTAGCACCAATTTATGACTGTCCTCTCAAGGTATTTTACAAAATGCTTCCAATTTATACAAATACATTTATAGTTCACCAGGTCCATAGAGTCTGAGTTAATTACATGGACTTAATTCCAAGTTTAGTTTGTATGTATGTTGCTTATACTATATATTGTATATAGTATATTGTAGCCATAGATCCTGTATCCTGTGCACATGTGTATATATATATAATTTGTCTGCGCCATCAGCACCAACTCAAATTCCTTGGAAGTGCAAACTTACTTGGCAATGAACTTGAATCTCTTTATTATTCAAACCAGAAGAAAATATTAAAGCATAAATGTAATTGCATTGATTTACTGATCTTGCAGCAATCCCTCCTCCTGAAAGCATTTAACAACAGCAGAAAGGAAAACTTCTAAACTAAACCCTCCAGCAGAGCCTAGCTCATTGTGTTTGTCTGTTATGACCTGTTTCAGCTAAAATAGGGTTGATAGCAGCAGCAGCTCCATCTTGGAGAGAAACATGGCTAAACAGAGCAACTCTCAACCAGTAGACATAGACATGAATACATAGACGCCTCATTGAGTGGGCTGGCTAGTGCATGTCCGCCATATTGGAAGAGTCAGCGCTGTGCTGTAAACTACTACTAAGTCAATAATAGCCATGGAAGCAAATTGGTACAAAAAAACCTAAATGCTTTTAATCACTGGATTAATTCAGACCCCACAGTCACCACCCCCAAAATAACACATATATAAATAAGCATATCATTTTTTTATTGGGACATTTGGAGGCAACAAACACTGTTTTAAATAACACACATCTTCCCAGAGTTTGAAAATATAGACATTTGTTACATTTGGAAATGCACTAAAATCCTTTTTAAAGAATTGCTTAGAACATTTTCTCCCTTGTGTTACCAGTATATAACTGGATTGATTTCCGTTTAGCAGTGCAGTGCAGGGCAGTCTCGGTACTTAGTGGTAATAATGATGATTATAAGTATTATTATCAGAACACTGAGGAAGAACTAGTGGAAAACCTCTCCCTCTTCAAAGTGACTCCTCAGCATCTTTTGAAAACCTCCACACAAATACAACAGTTAGACATTAAAATATCAACAATTCTCTCACTCACATTTTTATATTGCCTAAAGGTGGGTTCGAGCTGGATAATTCACTGATTAGTTAATTAACTTTTGAATAATAGACAAAAGGAAGTATTGTTGGATTTCTCTTACATTCTTGACAACTTCAGTTTCAATATTATGGATATATTGGAGATATATATATATATATATATTTCTTGTTAGCCAATTGTTTACATCCTCCCCCCTCTGTTTTTCCCAGACTTCTTGCTGTCTCTGTCTGTGAAGGACAGGCGTGGTTACTACAGAACCTCTGGCTCGGTGCCACTGGATGACATCCCAGTGTGGACTCCCACAGCAGGTCAGACCTCACATCAGTCATCTGCACAGCTCAGGGTGGAGGAGATGCTATTGCCTTCAAGAATTAAAAAACGCTTTTATTTTTTGCCTAGGATAAAAAAATAAAAAAATAAAAAATAATTCTGTGATGGAGATCATTTTTTTGATCAATGCAGACTAGGTCCAAAAAGTGGGACTATCTTAATCTCTGTTTAACCTGTGGATAACTTTGAGCTGGTACAGTGGTTTTTAAACCAGCTCAAACATAAGGCTACAGAATATATAACAAATCACATTATCACTGTGTGCCAGTACATATGCAAAATAATTTATGGAGTGTAGTAATTATTGGTTATAATTTTCAATAGTGTTTTGAATATTTATAAGATTTAGGTAGCTCACAGCAGGACACGCTCACACTAAGTAAAACCATTACTGCCCAAAATACTAAAGGTCACAGATTGATAGAAATCCAGAGGAGAAAATGAGGAAGAAAGTCTCCATGTATCACAGCTACTATTACTACTATTATCCCTAATGTCTTCAAAGGCTGAGCAAAGCAGCAGAACTGCAACTTTAAGAACTGAATAGAGGCGGTGACCACTAAAACAACCATGCAGCAGACTGGACACCGCTAAAAAAAACTCCATATAATCCATATTATTAATATATTTTTAAATTAAATTTGATTAATTAATTTATCACTTTCTAAAAATTACTTATTTGGGATATGTTACAATTTAATTGTATATTTACTATTTGAATCATGTATCAGATGGATAGATGAATAAAAAAATGTTGCTTCTACTCATTTCATGGTATATTTATTGATTTCATGAAATGCTTTGGCTGCTCCAAGGTATCTGTATTATTGTTATATTTTTTTTATTTTTTATTTAAGAAGTAAACATTTTAAAATGGCGCTTATCTAAGATGGTCCAGATGCTAGAGGTCAGGGACTCTTTGCATCACTCTAAAGTGATGTATAGAAACAGTGATAAGATGTTTGTTTTTTAAAATGCCAAACAAAGATATTTGTGTCGAGATTTATTAGAACTTTTCATCACAGGAGGGGGTGTGTCTCTACATTAAGGTAGTAAAACAATAAAATGGCAGCACCTTAGCATTATGTTACTTTGTGGCACAAAGTTTTGGAGTCATCTCTACAGGAACCTGGAGTCAGGTTGTTCTTCAACATTATTTACTTGATGTAAATTGGACCGTGGACCCTGACGTGTACACATCAGAATAACTTTTACCTTCACCACATTGACTGGTGAGGTACAGCATGAAGCTTTGGAATGGACAATGTAAAGGAGCTTCACCTTGGATCAACCAGAGGTCTAAAATTCTCGCTTTGTGAAGATCACAACCATTCTGGATAA